CCTGTATAAGCAGCTGCCTGTTTCATGTAAGTACTTACACCTGTATAAGCAGCTGCCTGTTTCATGTAAGTACTTACATCTGTACAAGTAGCTGCCTGTTTCATGTAAGTACTTACATCTGTACAAGCAGCTGCCTGTTTCATGTAAGTACTTACATCTGTATAAGTAGCTGCCTGTTTCTTGTAAGTACTTACATCTGTACAAGCAGCTGCTTGTTTCTTGTAAGTACTTACATCTGTATAAGCAGCTGCCTGTTTCTTGTAAGTACTTACATCTGTACAAGCAGCTGCCTGTTTTTTGTAAGTACTTACATCTGTATAAGCAGCTGCCTGTTTCTTGTAAGTACTTACATCTGGCGCTCACCCTGTATAAGCAGCTGCCTGTTTCATGAAAAAAAATCAAGTTTTCAATGTTAAAAAAAAAGCAGCTTGAAAATGACCAGTTATTCAAGTCACATCACAATCTACTTTATACACCCTATCCTATTGGCTGGAGTCTTTGGTCGCCTGCACTGGCGAGGTCGTAAGAACTATTGGTGAGGACATTGCTGACGTAGTGTTGGAGACAGAGGTCGGCGTATTTGATTCAGAAACCATTGGATCTGGCGGAATAAGTCCTTCTTTCATACGTTTTTTCTGTTTCATTCTCCGGTTCTGAAACCAGATTTTCACTTGGGTTTCGTTGAGCTGTAGAGCTGTGGCGATCTCAATCCGCCGCGCCCGAGTGAGATACTTGTTGAAGTGAAACTCCTTCTCCAACTCTGTGAGCTGTTTGGTGGTAAAGTTAGTCCGACCGGAGCCAGCCCCCACAACCGTGGTAGTTACACCGCCCACGCTGTTAGCGAAGCCGTATTCAGGCTTGTTGCCTGAAAAAAAAAAAGTATGCAAACAGAACGATGACTTATATTCTACACCACATGTTTATAGATCCAACAAAACAAATATTGTTTGTCATCCGAGAAATAACTCGAAAAAAAACAAAGAGATAAAAATATAAATATCAAAGCAGTATTTCATAATAAGTGAACAATACTCATTTTCATGCAATTGAACTCCGCTGTGAATAAAAAACAGCACACAGGAACTGGGTGATCACAAAGGTATGGAAACCCAAAATGCTCGAGTTTTTGCAGTGTGGTACTTGCAGTGAATAATGAATTACAAATGTTTCTGTCGAGAACTAAATAACAGCAACAACAAAAAGGGGGGGGGGACAGAAAACAAAATGTTATTGTCAAAAGCGTTAAATTTGGATTATCTCTATAGCAAGCGTGAGTTATTATCTGATATGTATAGGTGGACGCAGAAACTGGGAACTTAATATAGAGGTAAAGATTTTGTTCAAATAAATGAAAGGTGATTTTGTACGTCTGGATAGGAATCAAACCTGGGTCACCACAGCATCAAACACATTATACTAAATCAATTCCTGATAAACTCCCATCCTTGCCAGCTAATGAGGGGGAGAACTGGGGGAAGTGACATACAATAGACCTGGTAATTTAGTTGAGGGGAGAACTGGGGGAGGTGACCTGGTAACTTAGTTTGAGGTGCTCTTCGGTTAAGAGTTGGGTAATTTAAACATTAATCACAGACTTCATTTCTTCTTGACGAATACATTTCTAGAAAAACAATATCTTCTTTGAAACTACAGTTTTTGGTGCATAACAATTTTCAGTTTTTTTGCATAGCCGTATAATAACAGACTCTAGGGTTAACAGTGAAACAAAAACTGGTCGGTTAAATGTAACACACATACACAAACGTGAGATGATCAGGATAAAATTTTATTTAATTAAATTTACTTTGTTGATTGTTCATTTATATCTAGTTATATAATCATTAATTTGTTTGTTTGTAATTAAGCACAAAGCTACACAATCTGTGCTCTGCCCACCACGGGTATCGAAACCTGGTTTCTAGCGTTGTAAGTCTGCTGTGCCATTGAGGGCCCTCGGGGGAGTCTGGGAAAGAATTTATTACTCTCGCTACAATATGAAGATAAGCAGGTGTAACTTATTACGTAACGTTACCATACATAGGTAATGCACACTTTACAAACGTTGTATGATTTGAAGAATCAACACCCTGTCTTTTTCTCTTTATACAAATACTGCTGTCTTACTCACTACGCACACTCCTACCATAACGAGAATTGAATCCCATATAAACAACACAGTATTAAATGAGTAACATTAGATCTTAACTGAAATGTACGTTGGTTCAAAGCAAATATTGGCTGAATCGTATACAATTTAAAAGCCAATGCTTTTGAATAGATGTAAGTCTCCTAACAGGAGGAAACATGTCAGTATTTGCATAAAGAAATACAATAATCTTGATTCACTACATTCCTAAAAATGTTGTTTCACTGTATTCCCAATAATGTGTATTTACTGTATTCAATAATGTTGATATACTGTATTCCCAATAATATTTATTTACTGTATTCAATAATGTTGATATACTGTATTACCAATAATGTGTATTTACTGTATTCAATAATGTTGATATACTGTATTCCCTATAATGTTTATTTGCTGTATTCAATAATGTTGATATACTGTATTCCCAATAATGTTTATTTACTGTATGCCCAGTAATGTTGATATACTGTATTCCCAATAATGTTTATTTACTGTATTCAATAATGTTGATATACTGTATTCCCAATAATGTTTATTTACTGTATTCCTAATAATGTTTATTTACTGTATTCCCAATAATGTTTATTTACTGTATGCTCAATAATATTAAAATACTGTATTCAATAATGTTGATTTACTGTATTCTCAATTATATTAAAATACCGTATTAAATAATGTTGATATACTGTATTCCCAATAATGTTTATTTACTGTATGCCCAGTAATGTTGATATACTGTATTCTCAATAATATTAAAATACTGTATTCAATAATGTTGATTTACTGTATTCTCAATTATATTAAAATACCGTATTAAATAATGTTGATATACTGTATTCCCAATAATGTTTATTTACTGTATGCCCAGTAATGTTGATATACTGTATTCGCAATAATATTAAAATACTGTATTCTTAATAATGTTGATATACTGTATTCTCAATAATATTAAAATACTGTATTCTCAATAATGTTAAAATACTGTATTCTCAATAATGTTGATTTACTGTATTCTCAATAATATTAAAATACTGTATTCAATAATGTTGATTTACTGTATTCTCAATTATATTAAAATACTGTATTCAATAATGTTGATTTACTGTATTCTCAATTATATTAAAATACTGTATTCAATAATGTTGATTTACTGTATTCTCAATAATATTAAAATACTGTATTCTCAATAATGTTAAAATACTGTATTCTCAATAATGTTGATTTACTGTATTCTCAATAATATTAAAATACTGTATTCAATAATGTTGATTTACTGTATTCTCAATAATGTTGATTTACTGTATTCTCAATAATAGTAAAATACTGTATTCAATAATGTTGATTTACTGTATTCTCAATAATATTAAAATACCGTATTCAACAATGATGATTTACTCATTCCCTGTAATGTTGACTTTACTGTACTCTCAGTAATGTTGATTTGCTGTATTATATCAACGAAGAGCGATTTATAAGCCCTTAAATTACCAGCTTGGAGTCCACATATTGCATCATGTAGAATAATTCCATGTTTTTGTTTGTCCCAACATTCAGTGTAAAGAACTGACCAAAACATGGACGAAAGTATCCATTTTCTATGTAAAAATACATAAGAAGTCCTGGAATGACTAGGTGATTAATTTATTATTTTGTGTGACTCATATGGTATGATGAATCTCGTAATCAACAAGGTCACGAACCAACAAGTCATTGGGTGCATGTATAGTTTAAAAAACTATTTTTGAATCCACGGTGGGGGCTCATGTAAGCCACCCTCCTCACCTTCATCGGTATCTATAAATAAAAGGTATTTCCCATATCATACACGTCGTTGTGGCCGCTAGCATGAACCAGCCTTGTCACCTCCACAAAGTTCAAAGTTCAACGAGAAACGTAACAAACACACTGAATGACAAGGGACTGTAGGGCTACAGTTAACATAGAAACGTTGATCTAGGTCAGCACGATAAGTGTGAAAAGAGTAAGTCAACTGGTTTAACCAGTTGAAGAGCCAATTAATAATTGAAACTGGGTGGGAGAGAGAGAGAAAAAAGTTATAAAAACAAAAATAGGAAAGACCAGTTTTTGTTCTATATAAAGCAGAGAAGACTGTTGTTAATTTTTATAAAGCTATTTGATAATAAGTGTAATATTAAAACTAAAAATTATGTTTTCTATCTGTTTATAAGCAGAACAGTTTCTTTATGTGTTTTATGTTATTTTAAAGCATTATCTATTTCTTGATAAATGATGTTGGGGATTATTTTGGATGGTTTTTAGAGCAAAGCTACATTAGGCTATATGTTGCGGGGAATCGAACCCCGTATTTTAGCGTTGCATGTCCGTGGACTTACCGCTGCCCCACCGGTTAGGGGGACTGATGCTAGAAATGCCGTTTATGGCAGTAGTGGTAGTATCTAAAACAACAAATGTATTAATAAGTTTGACTAAATCTGTTAATGGAGACAATAATTAGGTCACATACAGTTTCTGGCAGAGGTAATTAATTAGACAACAGTTGGTTGGGATAACATAATAGATTATGGTGTCAGGATAACAGTATGATAAAGATTGTGAGTAGTTATTTGGATAACAGTGTAAATGTTGGTTGCGATAACAGTGTATGTGATAGTGGTTGTTGGTTGCGATAACAGTGTATGTTACAGTGGTTGTTGGTTGCGATAACAGTGTAAACGGTGGGTAGTTGGGATAACAGTGTATGTGATAGTGGTTGTTGGTTGCGATAACAGTGTATGTGACAATGGTTGTTGGTTGTGATAACAGTGTATGTGACAGTGGTTGTTGGTTGCGATAACAGTATAGACGAAGAAACATAAGCAACAAGACTGATAAAATTTTAAGTAAAATGAAAATCAAACGGTTATTAATCCATTTGAAGATAAGTCTGGCTAGATGTGACCTCCAGGTTAGCAGATCCGGACTGTGAATACTGACGTTCAAGGTTCGCGTCTTGTTACAGGAAAAACGCGCTCCGCGTTCTGGGATTGTGAATGCGCTATAAGAGTGACATTGAAGTCCCACTATACATTTAAACAAGATCAGTCCAACAGTTGGCAGTGGGATCTATTTACTAGCTGTCTTCACTCTAGTCTGTCAGTTCAAAATTAGGGACGACTGTGTGACTAGTCCTTTCATTCTAGTTTGTCAATTCAAAATTAGGGACGACCGGGTGACTAGTCCTTTCACTCTAGTCCGTCAGTTCAAAATTAGGGACGACTGCGTGACTAGTCCTTTCACTCTAGTTTGTCAGCTCAAAATTAGGGACGACCGTGTGACTAGTCCTTTCACTCTAATCTGTCAGCTCAAAATTAGGGACGACTGTGTGACTAGTCCTTTCATTCTAGTTTGTCAGTTCAAAATTAGGGACGACTGTGTGACTAGTCCTTTCACTCTAGTTTGTCAGTTCAAAATTAGGGACGACTGCGTGACTAGTCCTTTCACTCTAGTCCGTCAGTTCAAAATTAGGGGACGACTATACGACTAGTCCTTTGAGTAACTTTGCACGAAAATTTCCAAAAACAACAACATACATAGAAGTTCTTGTAATTACGTTATACTATGGATATACTTTTGTTACATACATTTACATCCCTCCTTTTTATTGTACAAGTTCCTTTATTTATCTCCTGTATTACAGACCATGTATTTCCGAACAGTAATTACATCGTTTTACTCTCTCTCTCTTTGTCCAGATGAAC